GACATTAAGATATTTTAGTTTTTTAATAAAATTTTATTAAAATAATATAATTTTAAAATATTTTTATTTAAATTTTTATAAATAAATTCATATCTATTTTTTTTTTAAATAATTTGTAATTATTTACAGAGTTAATTAAGAGAGAGATGAAAGGAATTTCGTGGGACTCGAACGTGCAACCCATTAGAGGTGAACAACCCTAACTCAAAGTTCAATCTCATTGAGTCAAAACAAACAGTTCTATTTATTTATTTTTTTTAATTTATAATAACACATAATATTATAATTATATAATCTTTTTAATGAACTTACAACTGTAGAATTTTGAGAAGAAAAGGCAAAAGTTTTGGTCTTGTCTTCCTATCGGTTTCAAAGTCGAACATCATTAGTTTTCCCAGTCCCTACGTGTAATAAATAATGAAATGGAAATTTCTGAGAAGTCCCGGAGTCAACCGTGGATAGAGGGCGGTCAAGTCAAGGGGAAAGTATTGTAGTTGATTTCAGCCGTTGGATCGTTTTGCAATCTTGGTTACGTGTTCTGTCATTTACCAGGTCAGCGACTTTTCGAGCAAAATTACGCGGTTTTGCTTTTCTCCACTGTTTATTGACTGTTGGTTGGCGAAGACTGACCATGATAACCAATAAAAAATAAATAATTCATATTCCGTTTTAAATTAGTGATATAATCAGTTGATAACCCACCTATATATTGGAAGGAAAATGATTCGGGTAAAAATCTGTCTGTCATTTATTTAAGGATTAGTTTCGATTCTGAATATTAAACATCCAATCTAATCTCGGTGGCATCCTTTCCACATGTTCACATTTTTCAGTTGAAAATAATTACAAACAGGTTATATATTAGTATTATATAATATAAAGCCCTCACCATGCCTCTGGAAAAGTGTGAAAAGGTTATCGTTTCATTTGGTTCCAGCTGTCGTCCCTTCGATAGATACTGAAGACTGATCTTCAATTCAGGGTTAAAATTGGAACTTTAAATCTCTATAATATTGAGTCGTTAGCTTTCAATGTACTAAGAAATAAAAGAAATGATAAACATATAAGAATTAAGGATATTTGGTAAAGCAATTTGTATGTGGATTATAAGTTTTTTATTTTATTTTTCAAGTTTGAAATTTTTTAAAAAAGAAATGTTGTTTATGTTGATTATAAGTTTTAGTTTGAAATTTTTCCAGGGGAAAATGTTTTTTTTTTTTTATCCTTTAAAGTACTTATAAATTTGAACCTGTTCTTTCGGGTCAAGTGGCTTTAACCACACTTATAAGGTTCATATCCCTCCTTCAGGGCAACGGTTGGAGTTGACCCCATGATAAAATGTTCAAAAAAAAAAAAGTACTTATAAATTTATAATTAAAAAAGTGTGGATAAAGATATGTGAGATTTATTTTCCAATTTTTTATAACCCGTTTAAGTGAATAAAGTAATGTCTCCTTACACTCATGGAAGAAAAAAGTGCGCATAAAGCAAGTTTGTAAAAAAGAAAAAAAACAAATGCACTTCAAACCCTAAGAATGAATGAATGCATCCTAGGCTAATATGAAATAGTTCATTCATTTGTTGCAAGGTGGAGCAACTAGATTTTAGTGATTCATGGAAAAGGTAATGTGCAGTTTAAATAGACTACACAATACTTATTATTGGATGGGATGAGCTTGTAAAATTGAAGGCCCTTCATTTATTTAATAACTCTTGTTTTGTAATCTAATGTAATGTAGTTTGAATTGCAAAAGAACTCTTGAATTTTGATTTATTATTTTATAACTCAAATTATTTATGAAAAATGGAGCAACACCCAAAGGTGTTATGACTTAGTTGGTAAAAAAATTTGCTCTCCACTTTATAAATCAGTGTTCAACTCTTTGGGAGACCAATAAGAAAATAATTTTCTATAAATTATTTACTATGAATGATAGGGATTAATCTCCAAATGCACATCCTATCTGGCCTTAAATGCTAAACTAGAAAAAGGGGGTGGGGGGGCAACTACTGCATTTGATTAACTCCTCACGTAATTTATCCTGATAATTGTCTTTTTGTAGCAATTTATCCTGATAATTTAATTGTAAACCGGAACTGGGTTAAGCACTCTCATTGCTTTCTGTCGACGTTGTGTCAACTAGAACTTCAAATGATTAGTATTATGAATTTGAGTGACTCACTATTAATTGCGCTGCATTTACGTGGGATCTGTTGGGGAAATACATCATCTTGTATACTCTCTTTTCTGTGAGTACTGACATTTTTCTTTTAGACCTGCTGCCAGCACCGGGATTAATTGCTCTTGAAATTGTGAGGTTCTATTCATTATCTTTTACATCAATCATAAACAAACTACTTACATTGGTAAGGACCAAAGGTGAGTGCTACGCAAGAAATATGTGTGCTTGGTTCTTGTGTCATATGTAAACAGACAGACAGAAAACAGCATTTTAAAGATGTTGCTTGTCACACCCCCGACCCATAAGTTTGGGCATAACAAATGGTACACATCTATAGGATAATCCCATAAATGTGTAAGGTCATCTACTACCATATCAATATAATCTCCTGTAAAGTTTTAATGTAGCCTAACAACTTAAAAAAAAAAACAATTTCCATTAACAAATCTTAATAGTTTCCAAATAACAAGATCAAATCTCTTAACCAAAACATAAAGTGGTTAATATTATATTTCATAAAATCAAATAAGCTTCCAATTGAGTTATTGCTAAATTTCTACTTTTATTCTAATGATCTCTCAATCCCCATACAAAACCCAATTGCTCATACTTTTTCACCTGAAATGAGATGAAATTTGAAAAATGTGAGTTCAAGAACTCTGTAAGTAGTATACCCATCTAGCAGAATCAAGCATAGAAATTTAAAACTGAATTTTTATTGATAATAAAATGATAAAAGTACATTTATTTCCTCAAAACCTGGATATTTCATTTTTTGTCCCTTATAGCTGTGTAACAATCTACAATCCATGATCAATGATACTCAATCATCAATCCACAATACTCATTCCATAGTCCACAATACACAATACACAATCCACAATCCACAATCCATAGATCCCAAGTCTATCACAATACTAACAACTCAATCCTCACAAGGGTTAATCATACAGTCTGGACAAACAAAAGAAATCGTTCCAAAATAACCATTTCAATAATATTGAAGAAAAACAAATTTTAATTAACCACCTACACATGGTCACAATTTTATCTCAAACTTAAATAAAAATATTATGCTTAGTCCACAAATCATCTCATTCCATCATTAAAAACAATTTAATAAAAATCATTCTCCAAGACATAAATAAATAAATAAACAAATAGATAAATAAATTGAAACTGAACAAAACCCATTTAAATCCATGGATTTACTTTAAAAACACTGTAGGGTATAGCTACTTTACCCCAACAATTATCTTTCAATTGCAATTACCACAATTATTTGAAATTTAAATAAACATCAAAGTAAATAGAATTCAATCACTAAGTAAAAATTTATCCTATCACTATAAGAATTCATAACTTCACCGATGAGAAATCATGTCAGAAAGAAAGGAAATCAAGTTGGTAAAACATCCCTCCAACTTGGATCATGTCGAAAATAGCTTTGTCGATGAAACTGGGCTCGATATTTCATTTACTGATGTAGATGAGAATCACGTCGGTAAACTAGCTCCTAATTACCGGAAAGAAATATCTCTCAAGATTAGACCGGAACAGTGACATTGAAAATCTACTTTGGTAATTCATGTTGGTAATTTACCGACAAAGATCATGTTTGGATCTGGGGAGGTACCTCAAAGTTTGTGCTATGACAATAATTCACCGAGGAGGATCCTGTTCGAGAATTGAAGATCACCAACGAAGATCACGTCTGGAACTACAAGGATGCTTAGCAATTTGAGCCACATTAGTGATTCACCAAGGTGAGTCTTGTTCGAGACTTTTTATTCACCGACTAAAATCACGTTTGCAACTACAGGAATTTAGGTGGCATGTTTGAGCCGGAATTTTTAGGTGCCATTTTTCTTTTCTCCTACTTATCAACAAGGATAACGTTGGTAAATAAATCTGCAAAATAAAAAAAAAATTCTTGAATTCATGTTGATATTAATATATATATTTTATTTAATTAAATTAATTTACAATTAAACATTAAGTAATTCATAATATATATTTAATATCATAAAAATAAATATATATAATATTAAAATTTCACAATGTAAACATAAAATTGTTATATTCATTTATTTAAATTAAAGATTAAAACATAACTTAAAAAATAAGAATAAAATGACAAAGTTAAATGTAACCTAAAAAATTAAAGAATACCTCAATAGATGAAGATTTGTAGAACACTTTTTCCTAAGAAAATAAAGAAACATAAATTAGGTTAGTATTTATCTATAATTTCAACCCTAAAATAGCTCTAATCAACATATAAATGAAATTGAATGTTAATTTGCACAAATAAAATTTACTTACCCAGGGATTATCTCCTAATGTTTCCTGGGAAACAAAATTGAGAAAATTTAAAATTGCAAATAAATTGATTAATAACACAAATTAGTATTTAGTTAAATAAGGAGAAACAATGGAAGAGAAAAAGAGAAGAGATTGAAAAGATATAAGCCTAAAATTATATGAATATAGTGTAATTATAAGCATAAACAATTAATCTAGTAGCATTGAATGGAAGAGAAAGAGGAGGCAGAGGAGGGGAGAAGAAAAAAGAAGAAGAATAAAAAGGAAGGTAAGAAGAAATAAACCGGGCAGAGTGGTGAATATATAAAGCAATTTACCCATGTGTTGCTAGTCGGTATTGATTTTACCGACAAAGATCACATAGGTAGGTTACTGCAGGTGGGAATCTAAAAAGTGAAAATTTTGCAATTGGTGCTCAAATTATTGACCAACTTCCCATTGGTGTGTTTAAGCTATTTTACCGACTAAAACATGTTGGGAACTTTAGTTTGCCGACAAGATGCATGTGGGAAATTGGCACTTACCGACGTGGAACTTATTGGTAGCGTGGCTGGTAAAATTTCCCCTGCCTTCTTTCTAGATTTCGTCAATTTTCCCTAACTTCCTTTCCAGATTTAGTCCATTTTCATGCCATTTTCTAAATTTATCCAATAGATTTCTTACATTTTAATAATTTTAGTGGACATAAATTTTAAAAAAATTTGACAAAATTCCCCTGCATATATGATAAAATGTAATTTGTTTTAAAAATTTACATTTGTAATTATACAAATTTGTTATAAAAAATGCAATAATTTGAAATACATTCAATAAATTTTTTGCAATTTGGTCATTTTAGTTAGCATAAATTCTAAAGAAAATTTGACAGAGTTTCCCCATACATATGATCAAAACCAATTTTTTTTAACCTGCATTTGTAATGAAAAACACATATATTCTACAACTCTATCATGCTAAAAACAATTATACCTTTTCAACCATAACCATAACCACAACCACAAACACAAAGTATGGCAATCACACACCATTGTCTTAAATACCTACGATATTCAGTTAATAATAATTAACCTCCAAAGCAATCCAAAACTTCATACCTTTTGAAGTATGATCACTGGAGGTCAAGCAAAATAGGAAAAGATATCGTAATGAAAAGCTAAAACTAGTGGTTTAAAGTACTAACAAAAATAAAAGCAACCATGCAAAGTGTGCAGATAATGTGCGTAGCAGAAAAAAGAAAAAAAGAAAAAAAACTAAGGACATTGATAGTTTGGATAAAAAATAGGATGGTATGCATCATCTTGAGGCGAAAACTACTGCTGCTGTTGATATTCAAGGACCATAGGAAAAGTTTGTGTAGAATCAGTGAAGTAGGTGAAAGCTGAATTCATGCAAAGACCTGAGCCATGACCATGTGACAACTATGGTGAGGCAATTGGATGATGACCTACCTAAGGGGAGATGCCATAAGCGGCTAGAGATGTTGCAACAGACTATGCAATTGTTTGGCTCATATTATTCTGAGCTTGTGTCATTTAGGCTAGCTGTTATTGCATTAGAGCTATTTGTTGGTTTTGTCTTTCTAACACCTCATTTTGTTTTGCCTGTGCCTCGTTATAGTTAGACATCATCATTGCTACTATTAAGTTTTCTCGGGGTTGTCTCTCCTTGTAAGTAAATCCAACCATCTCTGGATTTATTTGGGAGCCAATCCTTGGCATGAAATTAGATGAGCAACCTCCAACAACCTTAACCCATGCCTCGTTATCCATGTGTGGCCACAAACTAGCATCAGAGCCATGGCTTTTTGTGCACTTTGCAACATAAGTATCTTGAAAAAATAATAGTAATAATAATAATGTTGTCAAAAGCAGTTTGAAAAGAATCTATAAAAAAAGTAGACTTTGCTAAATAATTTAGATTAATTACATAAATTTTTTCAACACTTATAATTATACATTTTATGCTAATTTATATGTTATATATACTTACATATCGATGCTTTGCTTTTTCATTGATCCACACCGGTTCTTGATCCTTTCCTGCCTTTTTTCTAAAGGTGTGTGTCTCCTTGAACTTCTCCTGATGAGGAGCTTGCACACCACCTCTAGAGTCAGCATGTATTTCAAAATATTGATAATGCAATATATTGGTTAGTATAAATTGACACAATTTATTGTTATATAAAATTTAATATATATAATTTTTTATTAATTAAGCTTGATTATCATCTGCATCTCATGGATGCCAAAGCTAATGGACCTTGTGGTGTGAGTCAGCCTCTCCCCAAAACTCTTATTCTTTGCTTCCTTTGCACTAAGTATCTTATATTCATCAAGGCCCCAATATGTCAACAGTTGAGACCATATATGAGCTGGAATCCAACATGGGACATAAGTTGAGTCCTTCTCCCATTTCAACTTCTCATCCCTAACATTGCCACTCCATCTATGTTTCATACAATTTAGGAATGCATCTCGTACATGGATCATCTGTAGGATCCCATTGGTAAATTGTCTACAAAATAAGAAATGAATAACATTAGATGTGTGAGCAATGTAAATTCTAGTTTAGTAATGAAATTATTTATTTTTATTAGAAATTGCTAAATCCATTCATTTTATTAAATTTGCTAAAACTTAATCTTACCTTGAAACAATTGTAAATTTCAGTAACCTTGCTATGGGGGAGACACTCATATGTGAAATACGGGCCATCGAAACGTGACGTCCATAAGGTAGTGATAACCCAAGGAATTTTTGGATCAGCAAATTGGAGCTTATCACTAGTAAGTTTAACCCATTTCCTGCTCTCTTTATTCTCTAGAGGGGGTATTCCTTTTAAATTCATGCCCCGTCCTTTTTTCCCAATTGAGGATGAAGGGCCCTCATTATCATGATCGGGTGCAAAATTAGAATCCATTAATGGATCGATTGTTTGCTGTATATCCGGAGCTACGCCACTGTTAGTAAACAGTTGTGGTTGATTAAGCTTATGTTGCCCTTCTGATCCTGAGGAGGAAGATCTCCTCCTTGCTAAACCGGAAGGATTTCCAAACATCCTGAAAAATAAATAACAAAATAGTTATTAATAAATTTATACAAATAACGAGTAACAAATTTAGAACAATCATACAATGACTCTATTTTAAATGAAAAACATATAACTTGATAAAACAATATATCTAAGACAAAGAAATTTTAATACATATATTTAATGAGTAATAATACAAATGTTTCAATTAATCATCACTATCATCACTGTCATCATCATCCTCAACATTATCACTATTTCCCAAGGATTATGAATCTTTTTCTTCTCCATAGTCCTCCTCTTCTTTGAATGTGTTAGCATCAACCTCAACTTCTGTAACACCTTTTACAAATAGTTGAAGTGATTGGTATGCAGTTAAATCTATAGCTAATGAAGAGCCTTGCATTATGAGGGGGTCATCATCTTGAAAAATGTCATCAACCTCTCTTGAAGATGAGGTAGATGAGGTGTCAATTAGATGTCTAGATTTGATTTTACATGTTGCCAATCATCCCTGGGTAGTTCTATTCATGGCTGCTGGATATGGAGTAAAATAAACTTCTTGTGCTTGACTAGCAAGGCAAAATGGCTTTCCCGTTGTAAGTTTAAACCTTGGATTCACATCAACAATTTCGTGTTTAGCATTGACATTTATTCCTCAATCCGTGTCATACCAATCACAATTAAACAATATTATAGTCTCTTGTTGGCCTGAGTGTCTATAATACAATAACTCGATTACCTCTTTTAAGACACCATAATAGTCAATTTCATCTGCAGAATTGATGGTGGTTCCTTGAACACAAACACCACAGTTATATGTCTTTCTATTATTAGTAAACTCTTCAGTCAAAAATTTGAAGCCATTCACGTAGAACCCATTATAAACATACACTTCAAAGATCGAGCCAATTGCAAGGTGAATAAGTTGTTTGCTAATTTCATATTGTCCACTAAACACCTATATTTGAAAAAAAATTTAACTTAGTAATATTTATTATTTAATTAAAAATTTTAGAAAATAATATATAACAATTTCTTACCATATTTTTAAACCATGGAATAAAATTATTTGTTCGCAATCTTTTTAGTTGTTCATATGGCAAATTTGTACGAACTTCTTCCTCAAATTTACTGTAAAATAACATTTATTTATTAATTAAAATGTTGTGAAAATCATATAGGCTATTATTTTCCTAGGAAGAGGTAAAACTTACGTTACCCAAACATCAACCTCCTTATAATTTAGCAAGACATATAGTTCAACTGCATCTTTCTCCTCCAATGTTAAACATCGTGTACGTGATTGGGCACCTATTGATTCACCAGGGGAACAAAATACAGATAACTTACCTGGGACGTTGGTCTTAATGTCGCCATGGTTCCTTGGAGGTTGATTCCAGCTTGTTTCAACATCGTCCCCAAAATAATGAGTACAGAAGTGGGATATCTCATATAATATAAATGCCTCGACAATTGATGCCTCGACATGATTTTTATTCCCTATGGTACTCTTAAGTTTGCGCATGCACCTGAAAGAAGATACTAATAAAATTAATTAAAAAAAAAGTAATTAAAAGTAAGTTTTAATATTATTAATTTCTTTGTATGTTTTATCTTTCAAATGGGTACATTCAACGGAATTGAACAGGATCACCAACTTTGGCCTTATATGAAAGATAAATTACTAGATGCTCCATAAAATCAAAGAATGATGGGGGGAATATTATTTCTAACTTACAAATTATTTCAACAATCTTTGCCTCCCACTTATGCATCTCAGTAACTCTAATGTCCAGGGAACAAAGTGAACGAAAGAAGTTACTAATGTTAGTCAAAAGACCCCAAATAGTAGATGGCAATAGACCATGAAAAGCAACTAGAATTAGCCATTGCATGAAAACATGACAATCATGACTTTTCATCCCGAATAACTTGGACTCATTCAAGTTGACACATCTGGATATGTTGGAAGCAAACCCATCTGGAAAGCGCAATTGTTTTAGCCACGTACATAGAAGCTTTTGTTTTTCGAATGATAGTGCATAACTAGTATTAGGTTTCACAAGCTTACCATGTGTATTATATCCCATGTGTAGTTTTCTTTAGTCACAATAAATGGCTAAATCCAATCTTGCTTTCCCATTGTCTTTTGTCTTATTGTCATTTATAACAGTGTGTATTATATTATCAAAGAAATCTTTCTCACAATGCATTACATCTAGATTATGTCAAATAAGATTATCATGCCAATAAGGAAGTTCCCAAAAAAATGCACATTTTCACCCAATTATGGATGTTCCTAAAACCCTCAATTGTTTGGTTTTCAAAGGGTTTACCAAACAACACATCAGGAAGGTTTTCAACTCGGTAACGCATTGAAACACCATCCAATCGAGGAGGGGGACTACCTAATTCAACCCGACCCTTTAAGAAATTACTCAGATCAAATCTAAAAGAATGTGATTCGAGTACAAACTGACGATGACAATAAAAAAAAACATGGTTTCTGACCATTTTAAAGATAAAAAGATCATGCCATCTCTATATAGTAAGGACATGACAATTGGCCATGAGTGCTCCAGCCAGACCATACCATAACCCGGAAAATCAATTATGGTCCACATCAACATAGCCCACATTATGAAGCTTTGCTTATGATAACTATCATATGTTTTTACACCATTCGACCATAACATTTTCAAGTCTTCAATTAAAGGTCAAAGGAAAACATCAATATTTCTACCTAGGCTTTTTGGACTTGCAGTGACCAATGTAAGAAAAGTAAACTTTGGTTGCATGCACATCTTTGGCGACAAATTATAAACAATCAAAAAAACTAGCCAACAAGAGTAGGAGGTTGAAGAATGAGCCCATGGGTTGAAACCATCAGTAGCAAGACCTAATTGAACATTACGAGGTTCTCTTTTAAAAGAAGGATGCATTTGATCAAAATGTCTCCATGCTTCTGATTGTGCTGGATGAATGACTTCATTTGTATCACCACAACATTTCAAATGCCATGTCATGTGCTTAGCTATTTTTCGAGACATGTATAGCCTTTGAAGGTGAGGTATTATTGGCAAGTACCAAAGAGAATTCCTTGGAATGTCCTTTCGTCTTGTCCTCCTTGGATTTCTCTGTTTATACCTCGCTTCTCCACAAATTAGACATGTAGTCAATGTTTTCGTATGCTCTCCATAATATAAAAAGTAGTTGTTAACACAAGTATCAATTTTTGCATAACCTAACCCAACCCTTTTCATATATTTTTCCACTTCATAAAAGTTTACAGGAATTTTCTCCTGATCTTCAGCACTTAACAACCTCCTACATCCTTTGAGAATGACATTAAAAACCATTAGCAGTTATATTGTTTGCAATCTTTGTATGCAACATATAAGAGAGCCAGCTGAGCACTGTCTCATTTCTTTTAGAACTACCAAGTGGAATTGTAGATGCATGAAGCAAGTCATAAAATACCTTTCCTTGATTGTTTGGTTCCTCGTCCAGATGTTGATTGGGGAAATTACCTTTTATTTCCTAACTATCATCATCCTCTAAACAAAATGCATCATACACCATTTCACGAAAGTCATTCCTTTCATCATGGTGTGTATCTTAGCTGTGTGATGATTCTCCCAGATTAGTAGCAGACCATGGATCTGCTGAATTCACAAATGTCTCACCATGTGCCCACCAAACAGAATAAACATTCATAAAACCATACTTAATAAGATGGTCCCATACCATTCCCCGAGTCATCAGCGGTAAATTAAAGCATTTAGTACAAGAACATCTGATTAAATCATTCGGTTGAAATTGTATGCAAATTAAAGGAAATATTCAACTCCATTATAAAACTCATTATATATCTCTCATCGTGGAGTTCGATGTCTATACATCCAATTACAATCCTCCATAATCTTATTAAATCAATAAAATAAAAATAATAACATGATTAGTTTCAAAATAATTATAATATTTTTCACATATTTTATAGTTGGGTTAAAACCCTAATTTATCATACATATATATAGAAATATGTTAAATTTATTCATCAACAAAATTTATCATACACAAATTATTGGTTTTTTATTTAATAAAGAAATTAATATTTAACGATACAATTATAAAAATATAGTGAAAATGAAACTTACTGTGTAATTAATGAGGATCCACAAGAGCTCAAGTATTAACCTACAAAATAATTATTAAAATATTAATATATAAAAATATAGTGAAAATGAAACTTACTGTGTAATTAATGAGGATCCACAAGAGCTCAAGTATTAACCTCCAAAATAATTATTAAAATATTAATATATATATTTTTAAAAAATTTCTTTATAAATGCCAATAATTATAAAAATTACATTTAAAATTAACATAATACAACTTAATATAGATACAACAATAAAATAAGATCAATTATTAAATTGCTAAAAAGTAAGGTTGAAATACGAAATTTAGTCTCTAATATTTTAGATTTATACCAAAATTATCCTTAAACTTAAAAAATATCGAAACTATCCCTAACCTTAAATATTTAATACCAAAATAGTTCTTGTCTTAACGAAAAGTGTTACTTGATTAATTATTTTGCCACAAAATCAGTTTCTTTTTCAAAATTTAATAACATAAAATCAAACAACTATATTTTACTATCATGATATATTTTTCTAATTATATTTATAAAGTTGAATAATTAAATTGGTACTTATGATCAAAGTTTTAAAGGTCTAAGTCTTCAAATTTTAAGGACTAAATTGGTACTAAAAAAAGTTTAGGGATTATTTTGATTCCAAAAATTAAAGTTGAAGGACATTTTTAGTACTTTTAAAGTTTTAGCATAATTTTGATCTAAATCAAAAAGTTGAGGGACCAACATGGTTATTTAACAAAAAAATTTAGGTCCTTCAACTTTAAAGTTTACATAATTTTCATCCCTTAACTTTTTTATATATTTTTTTAATCTTCAACTATGAAAAATACATTGTTTTATAGTTAAGAGATAAAAATGCAAAAAACGGTAAGACATGAAAATTGTGTAAAACTTTCAAAATGCACAAAAATCATATTGAGCCTAAAATATACTCAAAATAATAAATCAATTTGAAAATACAAGCTAATATCAAATACTTAATATAAAAATTACGTCATTAATGATTGAAATTTCATTAAAATTTTATTAAAGCATTATTCATAACTATTCATTAAATTTATTAAAAAGAAAATCTAACATTATTAGCTAATATTCAATGAACTAATTAATGACAATATTTGATGGTTTAAATTTCAAAAAAAATAGAACATACATAAAATATATAAAAAATAATAATATTACTTAAGTTTCACTTACCACTGCTTGGTCTACTACACTGTAAGAAGAAAAATGTTCAGGATTCGAAGGAAAAAATGGAAGAGGAAAGCAGAGGAAGAATAACTTGTGAACAGAAGAGGAAAACGAAAATGAAAGGAGGAAGACCAAAATGAAAGAGGAAGGGGGGTTTGGCAGGCAATAGGGACCCTTACCAACGAGATACACATTGCTAACATGTGATACCCCAAAATTTCTAGAATAAATAAGTGTGAGTTAAGGGTTAAATTGTGGAAAAATATTGTTTTGGGTTTAATAGTCAAAATATCCAAACTTGAGGGACTTAAAGAGGATAAATTTGGATAAAGATTAGCTATTTTTTTTTCCTTCTTTCCCTCCTTCTTCCGCCCGATTCTGCTCTTCTTCTTTCCCGTCTCCCCTGCAGCCGAAGAAGACCCAGGCCCCCGACACACCTCCCTTGAGAAAACCGGTGAGAAAGCTTGGATTTCTCCTTCTCTTCTTGCTCTAAAACACATGTAGAACCCAGAAACGTTCCCCTTCTCTGCAGAAATCCAGATCTGCTCGGTTTCTCCCCTCCTCTGTCCGTGAGCTGCAGCTTGTGGGTGCAAAATTCTGGGCTTTTTCGGTAAGAAATAGCCATTAAATTCTCTGTTTTTCCTTGAATTAGCTTGGGTTGACGTTAAATCTGTTGTTTCTCCAGATTTTGGGTAAACCCATGAGCTTTCCCTGCAGCTTGCCGCCGGCCTCTTCCCCCCTGCTAGGTCCGGTTTGCAGCTGGAAAATTCTGGTATGTGGCAGCTCTTCTAAGTCCCAATTCACCCCTTTAATTGCTGAAATTATCCATTTGAATTATGCCCCATGTGCTGTCCGAAAATTCTGCAGAAAAAGGGATGAATTTTGGCAGTAATTAGAGCATAATTAAGCTTAATTCATGTGTAAATTGCTTGAGTTGGTTGCTGTGATTTTTGGAGAGAAAATCCCGTGAATTAGCTAGTGTTCTGGCCAATTTTTGGATGTGTAATTACTGTTCACAGATTACTGTTCACACACCGAGGGTCAACAATTAACGGGGATTTAAATGATTAGTTTGTGATATAAGAATAAATTTGGAGATATTTGATAATGTGGAGACCGATAGAAATAGCATCATGATTAGGGGTAATCCTAATGAGGATTTCAGTTGAATTGGTGATAGTGCGGTATTAATTCTTGGGTATTTTGATTAGGCTCATGATCGTTCTGTCAGTTTAGCACTGAGATCGAGTCTTCGGTTTTATGCGAGTGAGATAAGTAAATTTATGGTAATGCCCATACAGTTTTTAAAAGCATGTTTTGATTTGTTTTTGAAGTGGTGGCGGGACTAAACCCTTTTTATATAAAAGTAAGTATGACTGATTTGAAGTGCAATTTTTATGCTTTTCATTAAATTGAGCATGCTTACTTGAAATTTAATTGATTGTCCTGATGATTTGAAAGTGATTGGTGAATTATGATTTTTCTATTAACTTCAGCTTGTTTTGTCTCCGATGTGGTCATGTTATTAGTGACCCTGCTAGTGGGGATTATACGCTAGCACATGTCGACATGTTAGTGATAGAATCGGTTCGTTCGAGTGACCCTGCTAGTGGGGATTATACACTAGTAAATAATGCGCTAGCCAATGGGTGGTTTATAACACCGGCCGTGATCTATAGAGGAGACGTCTATTTTGTTCCCGTACTGTATCTGTTTTTCTGATTATGCTTGTTGGCATGCTATAAGTTTAATTAAGGGCACTCCATATTTACTTACTGAGTTTATCTCATAGTTTTTCCTTGTCCACCATTTCAAGAAGCGAAACCGAGGATGGGGAAATCACGATAAGTGACGAGTTAGAAGGCTAGCCATTTTGTAGATTGAACATAGAGTTTAGAGATAAATCATGATCTTGTAAACTAAACGTTATTTGGAGATTTATGATATTAGAGCAAATTATAAAATTTGATATTTAGATTTTGGTGGTATCAGATTGTGGTATGATAAGTTCCGAGCTTTGTGCATTTGTGGGACCCTTTCACGAGTGTACGGCGTTTGTTACGCCTCGGATTTGGGTTCTGGGGCGTGACATAACATTTAAAGCTGATCATCTCTACATTGCTTCAAAATCTCGTTGACCGAGACAATCACCGAGTAAACTATGCTTGGAAAATATATCTTACCGATGGAAATCTTGTTGGTAATATAAATAAAAATCTATAAAACTAGGGCCAACAGTCGAAATTATGAGAAGTTGGAAATTGGGAAATTACCAACAAGGGTAACGTTTGAATATTGGCTCAAAAGCTATAGTCCCAGCCATAGGCAGTCGAAGTCATGGGGTTGGGTTGGGGAGTGGGAAATTACTGACAAGAAGAAAGTTGGTAAATTTACCAAGAAAATTCATGTTTCCAATAATGAAGTTACAAGCCTCTTCTTCGTCGGTAATTTGGGTTTTTGGTCTGCCAGTGCCGGACTGAATATTGGTTGATATTACCAACAAGGAAAACGTAGGTATTTTATTAATTTACCAACAAATATTTTATCTGAACTAGAAATAATATATTTTACTACTATTTTTACTGTTTCTGGATTTGCAGACATGTTTCTTGTTGGTAAAGTGCTGCTTCGCTGAGAAAGGTTCTTATGTCGGTGAGTTTTGGTCAGTGAAGTTGTGTTTTCTAGTAGTTATACTTATCAAGCACTTATTAAAATTATTCTATAACCTATGCCACTGATATACTCTTCTTCAAACCCAACCACTCCAACACATACTCTTGAAAACTAACCACCCAAATAAAGGATTCCCCCTTGAAAATTTCTCATATCACGCCACCCAAATTCACAATTTAAAAATCAATTCCAAAACCAACAGTAAATGTTGTACTTATGATTTTGATTATTGCAAAACACATTTGAGTGACTAATTGATTTATTTAAGTGTGTAGTTAAATTGCCAATATACTGCAAAGTAAGCAAAATGAGATTGCATTAAAAAGGGCTAAAAGGGTAAAAATACGCAAAGAGTCGGCTGCAGATTTTGTTGAGTAGGCTCTACAGGCCAAAAATTCAACTGTTGTTTTGGCGCGCGCGAAAAATGGAAGTAGAGCCGGCTCCCACTTTATAGTCGGCTATGAGGGTGCATTTAATGCACAACGGTCGACTTATTTGAAGTTGGAGTTCCAAAGCCGACTCAAAGTTTAGTAACCGGCTCTCGAGAAAAGCAGAATGGGCTGCAAACCTGGATAGCTGGCTCTGGAAGTGTAAGCCGGCTGTGTAGAGCCGGCTCTAGGAAGTTAAGCCGGCTCTCCTGACAATCCTGCAACTCAAGCTTTGTGTCCTGTAAAGCATTAAATGACCCCCAATAGCTAGTAACGACTATTTTCGACCATGGGGTTATAAATATGGTTGGTAGAAGATATGAAGTAAGTTAAGAAAGCATTGTATTGAATATCTTTACCTACCTATATGAGCTTTAACTTGAGTTTTTGATCTTTGAGAGATCTTTACATGTAATCCTCTTCTTGTTCTATTTGTGAGTGATCTAGGGGGTGTGATTATTCTTTCAAGAGTGATTTATTGAGAGGATTCGTGGGGTTTACATTGTAAAGGGGTGAGGTTTGAGAGAAATACTCATCTTCTTGTAAAAGGATTGAATGGCTCCTTTAAGCCACCCTTGTTATTGTTAGTGGATAGTGTGGAGGAAATCCTTGGTGAGTGAAGCCAAGGTAGAGGACTAGGCTCCAAGTTGTTGGATCGAACCTCTATAAATCATTGAGCAAGCTCTTCTTCTCTACTCTCTTTAATTTTGGTTTTGTGGTTGCAAAAAAGGGAGAATTTTTGGAACTCCAATTCACCCCCCTCTTGGAGTACATTGAGTCAACAATTGGTATTAGAGCAAGGGCTCCAATTTGAAGGTTTAACCACCTAGGAGTTGATTGGGGATGGCTCAATTTCAATCTTCTTAACCACTTGAAGATTTGTCTACCACTAAGCCTCCTTTCTTTGATGGTACTAATTATAATTATTGGAAGAATAGGATGAAGGTCTTCATGCTTGCAAATGTGCCCAAGGCATGGATTGTGACTATGAAAGGACCATATGTGCCTATGAAAGTAGTTGGGGAAAGTGAGGTGCCAAAGGAAGAAGTTGAATGGAATGATGAAGACTTGGTGAAGATCATGATCAACAACAAAGCAATCAATATGCTTCAATGTGCTCTCAATCCAACGGAATTCCATAGAGTATTTGGATGTGATACGGCCAAGGAGATGTGGGACATGTTGGAGGTAACACATGAAGGAGCAAGCCAAGTGAAGGAGTCAAAAATCAATAGACTTATTTACATGTATAAGCTTTTCAAGATGAAACCGGAGGAGGGCATTCAAGATATGTATACAAGATTGAATGATATAGTCACCAATGTCAAGGCTTTTGGTAAAGTCTATCCTTCTCAAGAAGTAGTGAGGAAGGTTCTTAGAAGCTTGCCCAAGAATTGGGAAGCCAAGAAGACCGCAATTGAAGAGCCTAAGGATCACAACATCCTCAAGCTTGAAGATCTCATTGGAAAATTGATGACATATGAGATAGAAGTTCAAGTTAATGGTGGAGTTGAAGTAGTTGAGAATAAGAAGAAGAATGTTGCTTTCAAGGCTAGCAACCAAAAGGAAGAAAGTGAAGATGATGCTAGTAATGATGAGTCTAGCAATGAGGAGGACATCACCAAATTGATTTCAAAGGAAGTGAAGAGATTCATGAAGAAGAACATCAAGAGCAAGCTTGCAAAAACAAATGAAGGAGAGTCTACCAAATGAAGTGTGAAATGCTATGAGTGCAACAAGATGGGGCACTATAGAAATGAATGTCCCAAATTGAAGAAGGGTGAAAGGAAAAACAAGAAGAGCATGAAGAAGAAAGCTTTTACCGCCACTTGGAGCAATGATGAGACTAGCTCAATGGAAAGTGAAAGCTCCTTGGAAAATGGTGTTGCAAATCTTTGCTTCATGGCTCAAGAGGATAGCTACAATGATGAGGAGGTAAACTCTAACTTTTCTAGTTCAATTAATGAAAGTTCATTTGAGTATTCTTATGATGATTTATGCAAAGTTCTTGATTGCTCTATGAATGACATTAAGAAACTAGGAAATGAGAATATTGCTCTTACTAAAACCATTTCATTGCTTAGGAATGAGATTGAATCTCTCTCAAAACAAAATGAGGTTTTAGTTAAAGAGAATGCCTCTTTAAATGGTGAGATTGCTTCTTTAAAGAATGAGGAGTCTAATAATGCTTTGAAAAAGGAAAATGAGGATCTAAAGAAAGGAAATGAAGATTTAAAGAAGGAAAATGAGGTTTTGAAGAGAAAAGCTTGTGATCTTGAGAATGTGATTTCCAAATTTACCTTGAGTAAAGAAAATTTTGATTCTATCTTAAAATCTTAAAGAAGTATTTATGACAAAGGGGGCATTGGATTTGATTATTCTAAAAAGCAAAAGACTTTCAAGAATTCTTTTGTAAGAGCAAGTCAATCCTATCATCCTAATGTTACT